GTGGTGACAGTAGGGGTGTTGTGATACTGGGGTGGTGACAGTAAGGGTGTTGTGATACTGGGGTGGTGACAGTAGGGGTGTTGTGATACTGGGGTGGTGACAGTAGGGGTGTTGTGATACTGGGGTGGTGACAGTAAGGGTGTTGTGATACTGGGGTGGTGACAGTAGGGATGTTGTGATACTGGGGTGGTGACAGTAGGGATGTTGTGATACTGGGGTGGTGACAGTAGGGGTGTTGTGATACTGGGGTGGTGACAGTAGGGGTGTTGTGATACTGGGGTGGTGACAGTAGGGGTGTTGTGATACTGGGGTGGTGACAGTAGGGGTGTTGTGATTCTGGGGTGGTGACAGTAGGGATGTTGTGATACTGGGGTGGTGACAGTAGGGGTGTTGTGTAATGAGGTGGTGACAGTAAGGGTGTTGTGATACTAGGATGGTGCCAGTAGGGGTGTTGTGATACTGGGGTGGTGACAGTAAGGGTGTTGTGATACTGGGGTGGTGACAGTAGGGGTGTTGTGATACTGGGGTGGTGACAGTAAGGGTGTTGTGATACTGGGGTGGTGACAGTAGGGGTGTTGTGATACTGGGGTGGTGACAGTAGGGGTGTTGTGATACTGGGGTGGTGACAGTAAGGGTGTTGTGTTACTGGGGTGGTGACAGTAGGGGTGTTGTGATACTGGGGTGGTGACAGTAGGGGTGTTGTGATACTGGGGTGGTGACAGTAGGGGTGTTGTGATACTGGGGTGGTGACAGTAGGGGTGTTGTGATACTGGGGTGGTGACAGTAAGGGTGTTGTGGGGTGGTGACAGTAGGGATGTTGTGATACTGGGGTGGTGACAGTAAGGGTGTTGTGATACTGGGATGGTGACAGTAGGGATGTTGTGATACTGGGATGGTGACAGTAAGGGTGTTGTTATACTGGGGTGGTGACAGTAGGGGTGTTGTGATACTGGAGTAGTGACAGTAAGGGTGTTGTGATACTGGGGTGGTGACAGTAGGGGTGTTGTGATACTGGGGTGGTGACAGTAGGGGTGTTGTGATACTGGGGTGGTGACAGTAGGGATGTGATACTGGGGTGGTGACAGTAGGGTGTTGTGATTCTGGGGTGGTGACAGTAGGGATGTTGTGATACCATGAGTTGTTGAATATTAATTGGTTGTGTTATACTGCATGGCCATGGTGATTTTTTTATAATATTTCATGACCTATATGACTACATTAACATGTGTTGTTGTTGCTTCACAGCTTATCTGTGCTATTACAGTGCCTTGTTCTAGAATATCACATTATACTTAATTGTTTTTAATTTATTATCTTTTCTAAAATTTAAATTAGGATATTTTATACTAAAGAGAATTAAAAATTGAGAAAAAAGTTTTTAAAGCTTGGAAATTCTAGTGTTATGGTGTAACTACAACAATGAGGGAAGTGAATGTGGGTGGGAACATTGCTTAAGTTTTCTCTCGACACTATAGATTTCAGGGTGAGTGTAGAAATCTGATGATACAGGTTACAGCAAGGTTATCTACAGGAAGCTGTGGACTCTGCAATTAGAATATTGTAAGCATTAATTGTGAGGAAGCTTGGGAGACTTTTGAACTTGTCATTCCAGCAGCTCGTAAATTCTTTCCTACACATTTGTCAGGTCCTCAGCATGATGTCACAATCTTCTCTCCCAATTTTGTATTTAAATGCAAAAACATGGAGTTAATTTCAAGTTCCAAGTTTAAATCTATAATCAGCAATATTTCAAGGATGAAATCTGTCAATTTTCTGGTGTTCAGTTTTTCATAGCTGTATTGTTCTTGATGACTGAACATAAAGCATGGTCCTGTATCATTAAAACCTAAATGCTGATATTACGTGTTTTTGTCGGTGTTTGATAAGTCAACAATAAGTTGTCAACCTTTGCTTCAAGAGTCGACAATTTGTAGTCCAGACATAATTATGCATTGAATAGGTATTGACTCTGATCATTAAACCTAATGGAACCAGAGTCAGGTTTAGAATGAAACTTACACAGTTATCACATCTCTGAAAACACATTACTGCAATTCTGCAACTTGCTTGTCACTAAATGATATTCATTCTTCCTGCTTCAAACTCCGACTGTAGTTTGTTGAATGCTCCATACTCAGACTGTGGTTTGTTGAATGCTTCATACTCAGACTGTGGTTTGTTGAATGCTTCATACTCAGACTGTGGTTTGTTGAATGCTTCATACTCAGACTGTGGTTTGTTGAGAGTTCCATACTCAGACTGTGGTTTGTTGAAAGTTCCACACTCAGACAGTGGTTTGTTGAATGCTCCATACTCAGATTGTGGTTTGTTGAATGCTCCATACTCAGACTGGTTTGTTGAATGTTCCATACTCAGACTGTGGTTTGTTGAAAGTTCCATACTCAGACTGTAGTTTGTTGAAAGTTCCATACTCAGACAGTGGTTTGTTGAATGCTCCATACTCAGACTGTGGTTTGTTGAATGCTCCATACTCAGACTGTGGTTTGTTGAATGTTCCATACTCAGACTGTGGTTTGTTGAAAGTTCCATACTCAGACTGTAGTTTGTTGAATGCTCCATACCCATACCGTGGTTTGTTGAAAGTTCCATACTCAGACAGTGGTTTGTTGAATGCTCCATACTCAGACTGTGGTTTGTTGAATGCTCCATACTCAGATTTTGGTTTGTTGAATGGTCCATACTCAGACTGTGGTTTGTTGAATGCTCCATACTCAGACTGTGGTATGTTGAATGCTCCATACTCAGACTGTGGTTTGTTGAATGCTTCATACTCAGACTGTAGTTTGTTGAATGCTTCATACTCAGACTGTGGTTTGTTGAGAGTTCCATACTCAGACTGTAGTTTGTTGAAAGTTCCATACTCAGACAGTGGTTTGTTGAATGCTCCATACTCAGACTGTGGTTTGTTGAATGCTCCATACTCAGACTGTGGTTTGTTGAATGTTCCATACTCAGACTGTGGTTTGTTGAAAGTTCCATACTCAGACTGTAGTTTGTTGAAAGTTCCATACTCAGACAGTGGTTTGTTGAATGCTCCATACTCAGACTGTGGTTTGTTGAATGCTCCATACTCAGACTGTAGTTTGTTGAATGTTCTATACTCAGACTGTGGTTTGTTGAAAGTTCCATACTCAGACTGTAGTTTGTTGAATGCTCCATACCCATACCGTGGTTTGTTGAATGCTCCATACTCAGACTGTGGTTTGTTGAATGCTCCATACTCAGACAGTGGTTTGTTGAATGCTTCATACTCAGACTGTGGTTTGTTGAGAGTTCCATACTCAGACTGTAGTTTGTTGAATGCTCCATACCCATACCATGATTTGTTGAAAGTTCCATACTCAGACAGTGGTTTGTTGAATGTTCCATACTCAGACTGTGGTTTGTTGAATGCTCCATACTCAGACTGTGGTTTGTTGAATGTTCCATACTCAGACTGTGGTTTGTTGAATGCTCCATACCCATACCGTGGTTTGTTGAAAGTTCCATACTCAGACAGTGGTTTGTTGAATGCTCAATACTCAGACTGTGGTTTGTTGAATGCTCCATACTCAGACTGTGGTTTGTTGAATGCTCCATACTCAGACTGTGGTTTGTTGAATGCTCCATACTCAGACTGTGGTTTGTTGAATGCTCCATACTCAGACTGTGGTTTGTTGAATGTTCCATACTCAGACTGTGGTTTGTTGAATGCTCCATAACTCAGACTGTGGTTTGTTGAATGTTCAGACTGTAGTTTGTTGAATGCTCCATACCCATACCGTGGTTTGTTGAAAGTTCCATACTCAGACAGTGGTTTGTTGAATGCTCTATACCCATACCGTGGTTTGTTGAATGCTCCATACTCAGACTGTGGTTTGTTGAATGCTCCATAACTCAGAATGTGGTTTGTTGAATGCTCAATACTCAGACTGTGGTTTGTTGAATGCTCCATACTCAGACAGTGGTTTGTTGAATGCTCCATACTCAGACTGTGGTTTGTTGAATGCTCCATACTCAGACTGTGGTTTGTTGAATGCTCCATAACTCAGAATGTGGTTTGTTGAATGCTCAATACTCAGACTGTGGTTTGTTGAATGCTCCATACTCAGACTGTGGTTTGTTGAATGCTCCATACCCATACCGTGGTTTGTTGAATGCTCAATACTCAGACTGTGGTTTGTTGAATGCTCCATACTTAGACTGTGGTTTGTTGAGAGTTCCATACTCAGACTGTAGTTTGTTGAATGCTCCATACCCATATCATGATTTGTTGAATGCTCCATACCCATACCGTGGTTTGTTGAATGCTCAATACTCAGACTGTGGTTTGTTGAATGCTCCATACTTAGACTGTGGTTTGTTGAATGCTTCATACTTAGACTGTGGTTTGTTGAAAGTTCCATACTCAGACTGTGGTTTGTTGAAAGTTCCATACTCAGACAGTGGTTTGTTGAATGCTCCATACTCAGACTGTGGTTTGTTGAATGCTCCATACCCATACCATGGTTTGTTGAAAGTTCCATACTCAGACAGTGGTTTGTTGAATGCTCCATACTCAGACTGTGGTTTGTTGAATGCTCCATACTCAGACAGTGGTTTGTTGAATGCTCCATACTCAGACTGTGGTTTGTTGAAAGCTCCATACTCAGACTGTAGTTTGTTGAAAGTTCCATACTCAGACAGTGGTTTGTTGAATGCTCCATACTCAGACTGGTTTGTTGAATGCTCAATACTCAGACTGTGGTTTGTTGAAAGCTCCATACTCAGACTGTAGTTTGTTGAAAGCTCCATACTCAGACTGTGGTTTGTTGAATGCTCCTGTTCAGAATGTGGTTTGTTGAATGCACCATACTCAAACTGACTTATTGCTTCATACTCAGACTGTAGTTTGTTAAATGCTTCATACTCATGCTGTAGTTTGTTGAATGCTCCATAACTCAGACTGTGGTTTGTTTAATGCTCCATACTCAGACTGTGGTTTGTTGAATGCTCCATACTCAGACTGTGGTTTGTTGAATGTTCCATAACTCAGACTGTGGTTTGTTGAATGCTCCATACTCAGACCGTGGTTTGTTGAATGCTCCATACTCAGACTGTGGTTTGTTGAATGCTTCATACTTAGACTGTGGTTTGTTGAAAGTTCCATACTCAGACTGTGGTTTGTTGAATGCTCCATACTCAGACTGTAGTTTGTTGAATGCACCATACTCAGAATGTGGTTTGTTGAATGCTCCATACTCAGACAGTGGTTTGTTGAATGCTCCATACTCAGACAGTGGTTTGTTGAATGCTTCATACTTAGACTGTGGTTTGTTGAATGCTCCATACCCATACCATGGTTTGTTGAAAGTTCCATACTCAGACAGTGGTTTGCTGAATGCTCCATACTCAGACAGTGGTTTGTTGAATGCTCCATACTCAGACTGTAGTTTGTTGAAAGTTCCATACTCAGACAGTGGTTTGTTGAATGCTCCATACTCAGACTGTGGTTTGTTGAATGCTCCATACTCAGACTGTGGTTTGTTGAAAGTTCCATACTCAGACTGTAGTTTGTTGAATGCTCCATACTCAGACTGTGGTTTGTTGAAAGTTCCATACTCAGACAGTGGTTTGTTGAATGCTTCATACTCAGACTGTGGTTTGTTGAAAGTTCCATACTCAGACAGTGGTTTGTTGAATGCTCCATACTCAAACTGACTTATTGCTTCATACTCAGACTGTAGTTTGTTAAATGCTCCATACTCATGCTGTAGTTTGTTGAATGCTCCATAACTCAGAATGTGGTTTGTTGAATGCTCCATAACTCAGACTGTGGTTTGTTGAATGCTCCATTCTCCGACTGTAGTTTGTTGAATGCACCATACTCAAACTGACTTATTGCTTCATACTCAGACTGTAGTTTGTTAAATGCTCCATACTCATGCTGTAGTTTGTTGAATGCTCCATAACTCAGACTGTGGTTTGTTGAATGCTCCATAACTCAGACTGTGGTTTGTTGAATGCTCCATACCCAGAATGTGGTTTGTTGAATGCTCCATACTCAGACTGTGGTTTGTTGAATGCTCCATACTCAAACTGACTTATTGCTTCATACTCAGACTGTGTCTTTTTGCCGTGGTTTGTTTAATGCCAAATCATACTTTGGTTTTTTGATCACATAACAATCAAGCTGTGGTCACAAGTCCCAAACTTACCTTTCTGTTGTTTTTGTAAAAACTATTTTCTCACAGACTTGTTGTAAATGATATTATACATTTGTTTGGCAGTTATTTATCTATAAAACCACTGTGGCTAACATTAGGTATGTGTATATAAAACACATTGTGAGGAACAGAGTGCTGATGTGCCATTATCTATCATAGGACAATGGAGCTTACCAGCAGGGATCCAATGCTTATGTCTGCGTCTTCAACCACACAATAACCCAATATTTTCTCGGCTCAGCAAAGTAACCAATCATCAGGCCTTCCAGCTGGGGCCGTCAATGACTTGAAATAGACACTGAACATATCTTGATGTGATGTATGACCGACAGAGTCAGATCACATTATGAAGTAAGTGTTATTTATGAACCAACAGTGGGGTACCTTCTTTTGGAGTCTAAACCCCAGTAAACCTACCTTAGGTTCAAAACAGCAAGTCAACCTCATCAATTCCACCCCAGGACTACTCTAGGAGAGTCCAAGGACGACTGAGTGTCACTAATGAACATAGAGACTAGATGCTGATGTTTAGAATTGTAATTAACGGTGAAATTTCAAAGTAAATTGATAAAGAAATGTAATAATATACCTCGTATTACTGATATATAAACCATCCAAACAATATTTACATTACAATATCCATTGTACACACCTGAATAGGAACAATTAAGCTTCAAATTAAGCTGCCAGGCTCTGTTACATTCTGTTTATATCTCATATTCATCAAATTTTATTTAGATCTCGTGCAATTTATGACCATAATTTGAGCAATATTGCTGTGGATGGAGCACAATCGGGGTATAAAAAGTTTTTGGGATAGTCACCTTTCGTTTTCTCTAAAGATCTTCTTACTACCTAACCAGCTGACGAAAGCTGAGATGTTTTCTGAAGCATGAAACATTGAAGCTGAATGAATGAGTCACATTCTAGGAACCACAAAGGAACTATCAAGAGCATGACAGAGCATTGGAACCAATATAAATGATTGTAGTGGAATGTCTCACAGTGAAATGTCTCGCAAAGAAATGTCTTGCAGAGAAATGTCTGGCAGTGGAATGTCTCACAGTGGAATGTCTCGCAGTGAAATGTCTCACAGTGAAATGTCTCACAGTGAAATGTCTCACAGTGGAATGTCTCACAGTGAAATGTCTCGCAAAGAAATGTCTTGCAGAGAAATGTCTGGCAGTGGAATGTCTCACAGTGGAATGTCTCACAGTGAAATGTCTCGCAGAGAAATGTCTCGCAGTGAAATGTCTCACAGTGAAATGTCTCACAGTGGAATGTCTCACAGTGGAATGTCTCACAGTGGAATGTCTCACAGTGAAATGTCTCACAGTGGAATGTCTCACAGTGAAATGTCTCACAGTGGAATGTCTCACAGTGGAATGTCTCACAGTGAAATGTCTCACAGTGGAATGTCTCACAGTGGAATGTCTCACAGTGAAATGTCTCACAGTGGAATGTCTCACAGTGAAATGTCTCACAGTGGAATGTCTCACAGTGAAATGTCTCGCAAAGAAATGTCTCGCAGAGAAATGTCTGGCAGTGAAATGTCTCACAGAGAAATGTCTTGCAGAGAAATGTCTCGCAGTGAAATGTCTCGCAGAGAAATGTCTCGCAGTGAAATGTCTCACAGTGAAATGTCTCGCTGTGAAATGTCTCGCAGTGAAATGTCTCGCAGTGAAATGTCTCACAGTGAAATGACTCACAGTGAAATGTCTCGCAGTGAAATGTCTCACAGTGAAATGTCTCACAGTGAAATGTCTCGCAGTGAAATGTCTCACAGTGAAATGTCTAGCAGTGAAATGTCTCACAGTGAAATGACTCACAGTGAAATGGCTCACAGTGAAATGTCTCACAGTGAAATGTCTCACAGTGGAATGTCTCACAGTGGAATGTCTCACAGTGAAATGTCTCACAGTGGAATGTCTCACAGTGAAATGTCTCACAGTGAAATGACTCACAGTGAAATGTCTCACAGTGAAATGTCTCACAGTGAAATGTCTCAGTGGAATGTCTCACAGTGAAATGACTCACAGTGAAATGTCTCACAGTGGAAAGTCTCACAGTGGAAAGTCTCACAGTGGAATGTCTCACAGTGGAATGTCTCACAGTCTCACAGTGGAAAGTCTCACAGTGGAAAGTCTCACAGAGGAATGTCTCACAGAGGAATTTCTCACAGTGAAATGTCTCACAGTGGAAAGTCTCACAGTGGAATGTCTCACAGTGGAATGTCTCACAGAGGAATTTCTCACAGTGAAATGTCTCACAGTGGAATGTCTCACAGTGAAATGAAATTACTAGTGCTATTCATTATATCTTGACAAGTCTTAGTAGTGAGTGAGAAACACATTGCCAGACTGATGAGAAATGTGAAGGAATGGTTTTATCAAGTCCACCACTATTCAGGTCTATTAAGCTTACTTACCATTCCATCATGCTGTCATGTTCTTGAAAGATTTGCAGTAAAAATTTGGATAATTGTGGCATGATATTTTGCAGCCAATGAATTTGTCAAAATTACGATATCCAACTAGTTCCCTCAAGATTGCGACAATCCCAGGACTCCCCACACTCAACATTATTAATTGTGGAGATCATAGAAATTCTAGCTTAGTATTCCAGCCCAGTGTTAGAAACACCTGTTTTTCATGAAACAATTAGTTAAATTGTATCATTGATGAAAATGAAGCAGCCAGAAAGCTGCAATAGATTTGTCTTGTTTTGATTGATAATGATGGAGACTAAAACATGAATATACAGATTTTAATGTAAATAAAAAGCTGATGAGTACAGTACTGGTTATATTATATATCTATCACAATGAAATTATGACCATTATAAGAGATTTTTTTTTGAGAGAGATTTACATTTGGTTTAAATTTGTATAGATGACATATTTAGATTAAGAAATGTTGTATATGATTCAAACACTTGATGAACATTATTGAAATACAGAGATACAGAGATCAAATTTTACTTAATAATTTTCGACCGTAGCAGATACTTTCTATTCATCCAGGATTCTATATTTTCATTGTGATATAATTGAGTCATGAACCAATATCATACATATGAACATTTGATCCCATTGACCCTGTAGAAGGATAAGAGGGGAGACTGTGAGATGCAGAGGGAGTATCCAGTATATACACAATCTGTCACTGACTTAAAAAAAATAATGCAGCTTGGAAGTCTGTGGTCGATAATTCATTTTATCCTGTATTTCCTTTATGGTTAAGGTATCTCAGCATTATTACTTTAACAACACTTAGATCATTCCATGGTGAAGGTCATGAAATAATCACCCATAGGTCACGACCCAAGCTGGGGGCCAATCGTTGGTCAGTACACATGTGTGGAGTGTTGAGGTCATGTTGTGGACAGCTTTGATAATCAATACCAATTTGTCTAGACACGGATGACCATTCTCCAGGATTAGTTTTTATTGCCCTAGTTAGCTAATGATATTTCCATTTCATTTAAATCTTTCCTTTCCATGAACTCCATCAGGTCCCAAACAAGACTCCCAATTAGACCTCAAACAAGACTACCCTTGAGGTCCTGAACAAGACACCCCATCAGACCTCGCACAAACTCTCCATCAGACCTCAAACAAGACTCTCTATCAGACCTCAAACAAGACATCCCATCAGACCTCAAACAAGACTCTCTATCAGACCTCAAACAAGACATCCCATCAGACCACAAACAAGACTCTCCATCAGACCTCAAATAAAACATCCCATCAGACCTCAAACAAGACATCCCATCAGACCACAAACAAGACTCTCCATCAGACCTCAAACAAAACTCTCCATCAGACCTCAAACAAAACTCTCCATCAGACCTCTAACAAAACTCTCCATCAGACCTCGAACAAAACACCCCATCAGACCTCAAACAAGACTCTCCATCAGACCTCAAACAAGACTCTCCATCAGACCTCGAACAAAACTCACCATCAGACCTCAAACAAGACTCTCCATCAGACCTCAAACAAGACTCTCCATCAGACCTCAAACAAGACTCTCCATCAGACCTCAAACAAAACATCCCATCAGACCTCAAACAAAACACCCCATCAGACCTCAAACAAGATTTTCTATCAGACCTCAAACAACACATTCCATCAGACCACAAACAAGGCTCTCCATCAGACCTCAAACAAGACATCCCATCAGACCTCATACAAGACATCCCATCAGACCACAAACAAGACTTCTCATCAGACCTCAAACATAACACCCCATCAGACTTCGAACAAGACTTTCTATCAGACCTCAAACAAGACATCCCATCAGACCTCAAACAAAACACCCCATCAGACCTCACACAAACTCTCCATCAGACCTCGAACAAGACTCTCTATCAGACCTCAAACAAGACTCTCCATCAGACCTCAAGCAAGACTTTCCATCAGACCTCAAACAAAACACCCCATCAGACCTCAAACAATACTCTCCATCAGACCACAAACAAGACATCCCATCAGACCTCAAACAAGACATCCCATCAGACCTCAAACAAACTCTCCATCAGACCTCGAACAAGACTCTCTATCAGACCTCAAACAAGACTCTCCATCAGACCTCAAACAAAACACCCCATCAGACCTCAAACAAGACTTTCTATCAGACCTCAAACAAGACATCCCATCAGACCTCAAACAAAACATCCCATCAGACCACAAACAAGACTTTCTATCAGATCTCAAACCAGACATCCCATCAGACCTCAAACAAAACATCCCATCAAACCTCAAACAAGACTTTCTATCAGACCTCAAACAAGACATCCCATCAGACCTCAAACAAGACTTTCTATCAGACCTCAAATAAGACATCCCATCAGACCTCAAACAAGACTTGCTATCATACCTCAAACAACAATAACAATCAGACCTCAAACAAAACACCCCATCAGACCTCAAACAAAACTCTCCATCAGACCTCAAACAAGACTTTCTATCAGACCTCAAACAAGACTTTCTATCAGACCTCAAACAAGACATCCCATCAGACCTCAAACAAAACATCCCATCAAACCTCAAACAAGACTTTCTATCAGACCTCAAATAAGACTTTCTATCAGACCTCAAACAAGACTTTCTATCAGACCTCAAATAAGACATCCCATCAGACCTCAAACAAGACTTTCTATCAGACCTCAAACAAAACATCCCATCAGACCTCAAACAAAACACCCCATCAGACCTCAAACAAGACTTTCTATCAGACCTCAAACAAGACTTTCTATCAGACCTCAAACAAGACATCCCATCAGACCTCAAACAAAACATCCCATCAAACCTCAAACAAGACTTTCTATCAGACCTCAAATAAGACATCCCATCAGACCTCAAACAAGACTTTCTATCAGACCTCAAATAAGACATCCCATCAGACCTCAAACAAGACTTTCTATCAGACCTCAAACAAAACTCTCAATCAGACCTCAAACAAAACATCCCATCAGACCACAAACAAGACTTCTCATTAGACCTCAAACAAGACTCCGCAACAAACCTCAGACAAGACTTTCTATCAGACAGACCTCAAACAAAACTCTCAATTAGACCCCCTACAAGACTGTATTAACTTGAAGAAGACTATCAGACACTGAACAGGACTCGCTCTCAAATCCTGAACAAGACTCTTCATCAGAACCAGAACAGCCCTTTCCATCACACCCGGAACAAGACTTATTATCAGACCCTGAACAACTCTTCCCTAGAAGTTTGGATGAGCTGTGGTTTATGTTTAGACAGGTATGTTTTTTAATGTAAATTTCCAATCTTGTATTAGTAGATATTTACTCTGTGCTTGTAGCACTTCATGTTTTAGATTTTACTCTGTGCTTGTAGCACTTCATGTTTTAGATTTTACTCTGTGCTTGTAGCACTTCATGTTTTAGATTTTACTCTGTGCTTGTAGCACTTCATGTTTTAGATTTTACTCTGTGCTTGTAGCACTTCATGTTTTAGATTTTACTCTGATTATTGATTAGGTTTGCCAAAAAATAGATCACACGTTGAAATCTTTGAAAAAAATAGCTAATCAAAGTGTATGCTAATTTGAATGAAATTTCATATTCTACTTGAAAAATGATATATTTTTATTGTTTCAAACCAGTCTGAGATTTGCTCACTGTCTTATACAAAGTCTATTGTGCTTTATAACGTAAAAATAAACTGGAACCAGTTCTTCTCTAACATCAATATTTGATCAATTGTCAGTTTGAACATAGATTGTGCACATAATAGAATATTTTTGTTTACAAGTGCTGCTTTTGATGTGTAAGAAAGAATTATTTACAAATTGAAATAACACAGAAAAATTAATATAGAATAGAAATTTGCATACAGTATACAAGAATAGACATTGACAGAATGTTCTAATCAAGTAACCTGAGAAGTGTCTAATTAGCAAGGTGTTTTGGGGCTAATGACATTTCCTTACTGCATTTAAATACTGAAAAATATGCCAAAAACTTCTTCAAATTTTTTTTTTCTGGACAATCTTTGTAAATATTGGTATCATAAATTACTTTAAGTAGGGTGATTGTACTTTACAATTGTATTCAAAGGTCCTAAGGTGAATATTGTACCTTTATAGAGATTATCAGGAATCTGCTTGAAAAAGCGTATTGGCACTATGTACTCGGAATGATATCTCATACAGTCTAGTCAGTCAAACAGGAAGTAAGCATCTGTATTTTTGTGGATCAGGAATGGTTTTCTCCAGATTAGATCAATCTTGTAAAATAGAACTGAAATACAAGTTTTCAAACTCTTAAATACAATATCAAATTCGCATATAATTTTGAAATTTGATCTTGAAATCAGTTCAAAAGATGGATGATTTGATTAGCCAATATTGTAATGTGATACCAAACCTATAAGTTGTTATTGTACACATAGAGAGATAGGATATCACGGTTTCTTAATTATGAAAATCAACATTGACCTTAGTGTTGTGTAATTTATTGTGATTTTTGTCACCTGTTAATTACTTCAATCTTAATT